ATTAGGTGTACAGTGCACCACTTGATGGTCTTGTCTTGCATGCTATACACTCCAGTATTGTACCTCACTAAACACTCCAGTATTGTACCTCACTAAACACTCCAGTATTGTACCTCACTAAACACTCCAGTATTGTACCTCACTAAACACTCCTGTACTGTACCTCACTAAACACTCCAGTATTGTACCTCACTAAACACTCCAGTACTGTACCTCACTAAACACTCCAGTACTGTACCTCACTAAACACTCCAGTACTGTACCTCACTAAACACTCCAGTATTGTACCTCACTAAACACTCCAGTACTGTACCTCACTAAACACACCAGTACTGTACCTCACTAAACACTCCAGTACTGTACCTCACTAAACACTCCAGTATTGTACCTCACTAAACACTCCAGTACTGTACCTCACTAAACACACCAGTACTGTACCTCACTAAACACTCCAGTATTGTACCTCACTAAACACTCCAGTATTGTACCTCACTAAACACTCCAGTACTGTACCTCACTAAACACACCAGTACTGTACCTCACTAAACACTCCAGTACTGTACCTCACTAAACACTCCAGTATTGTACCTCACTAAACACTCCAGTACTGTACCTCACTAAACACTCCAGTACTGTACCTCACTAAACACTCCAGTATTGTACCTCACTGAACACTCCAGTACTGTACCTCACTAAACACTCCAGTACTGTACCTCACTAAACACTCCAGTACTGTACCTCACTGAACACTCCAGTACTGTACCTCACTAAACACTCCAGTACTGTACCTCACTGAACACTCCAGTACTGTACCTCACTAAACACTCCAGTACTGTACCTCACTGAACACTCCAGTACTGTACCTCACTGAACACTCCAGTACTGTACCTCACTAAACACTCCAGTACTGTACCTCACTGAACACACCAGTACTGTACCTCACTGAACACTCCAGTACTGTACCTCACTAAACACTCCAGTACTGTACCTCACTAAACACTCCAGTACTGTACCTCACTGAACACACCAGTACTGTACCTCACTGAACACACCAGTACTGTACCTCACTAAACACTCCAGTACTGTACCTCACTGAACACTCCAGTACTGTACCTCACTAAACACACCAGTACTGTACCTCACTGAACACTCCAGTACTGTACCTCACTAAACACACCAGTACTATACCTCATATTTACGTAAACACACCAGTATTTTTTCAGTCTAAATCCACTTTACTTTGTTTCAAAATAAAATAAAAAAATACACAGGATGCATGAAGAAGGTGTGTGTGTGTGTGTGTGTATATATATATATATATATATATATATATATATATATATATATATGTCGTACCTAGTAGCCAGAACTCACTTCTCAGCCTACTATTCAAGGCCCGATTTGCCTAATAAGCCAAGTTTTCCTGAATTAATATATTTACTATAATTATTTTCTTATGAAATGATAAAGCAACCCTTTTCTCTATGTATGAGGTTAATTTTTTTTATTGGAGTTCAAATTAACGTAGATATATGACCGAACCTAACCAACCCTACCTAACCTAACCTAACCTATATTTATAGGTAAGGTTAGGTTAGGTAGCCAAAAAAAGCTAGGTTAGGTTAGGTTAGGTAGGTTAGGTAGACGAAAAAACATTAATTCATGAAAACTTGGCTTATTAGGCAAATCGGGCCTTGAATAGTAGGCTGAGAAGTGAGTTCTGGCTATTAGGTACGACATATATATATATATGTCGTACCTAGTAGCCAGAACTCACTTCTGAGCCTACTATGCAAGGCCCGATTTGCCTAATAAGCCAAGTTTTCATGAATTAATTGCTTTTCGACTACCTAACCTACCTAACCTAACCTAACCTAACTTTTTCGGCTACCTAACCGAACCTAACCTATAAAGATAGGTTAGGTTAGGTTAGGTAGGGTTGGTTAGGTTCGGTCATATTTCTACGTTAATTTTAACTCCAATAAAAAAAAATTGACCTCTTACATAATGAAATGGGTTGCTTTATCATTTCATAAGAAAAACATTAGAGAAAATATATTAATTCATGAAAACTTGGCTTATTAGGCAAATCGGGCCTTTCTTTGTAGGCTGAAAAGTGAGTTCTGGCTACTAGGTACGACATATATATATATATATATATATATATATATATATATATATATGTCGTACCTAATAGCCAGAACGCACTTGTCAGCCTACTATGCAAGGCCCGATTTGCCTAATAAGCCAAGTTTTCCTGAATCAATATATTTTCTCTAATTTTTTTCTTATGAAATGATAAATCTACAAATTTCATTATGTATGAGGTCAATTTTTTTTTATTGGAGTTTAAATTAACGTAGATATATGACCAAACCTAACCAACCCTACCTAACCTAACCTAACCTATCTTTATAGGTTAGGTTAGGTTAGGTAGCCGAAAAAGTTAGGTTAGGTTAGGTAGGTTAGGTAGTCGAAAAACAATTAATTCATGAAAACTTGGCTTATTAGTCAAATTGGGCCTTGCATAGTAGGCTGATAAGTGAGTTCTGGCTACTAGGTACGACATATATATATATATATAAACACATATGTATGTATGCATGAGTGATAGCTTCAGGAGCTTCCTCACTTTGTACCCTGTTATTTTCACTCTGCAAAATGTGGTGTGGTCAGTGGGAAGATTGACCATATAAAAAGTGAAGGTAACAACCACAGTTCTCTTGATGTGTTGCCTCTCCGTGTCCTTCCGTGCCCTGCTCTTCCCCATCCCTCTTATTCTCCAGCTACCCTACTATACCCAGTGCTCACAAGTACCCCCCTGTCCACCAGTACCCGTGTCCACCAGTACCCGTGCCCACCAGTACCCGTGCCCACCAGTACCCGTGCCCACCAGTACCCGTGCCCACCAGTACCCGTACCCACCAGTACCCCTCCAGTGTTCCATGCACTCTGGTGTAAATATTACATTAGCTTAAACTTGGATATATTACTATTATCTTTAGTGGACAAGAAATATAATTTTTCTTAAAAGGTTTAGAAACCACAGATCCCCGTATATGTGCAGGCGTCAACTGAACATATACAATAGCAGTTAGATTTGTGCAGGCAACAATTGAATATACACAGTATCTGTTTCACTTATGCTGGCAAAAATTGAACATAAACATGTCAGTCAATGAAAATGAACTCAACCTTCATATCGTTCGACTCTATATAAAAATGTTTTATTAATATTTGTAATATTTAGACTTTATGTATAGTTTTGTGGCATTGAATTATATTTTATAAACTTTTGAGTAGCAGGAAGTATTCATATTAAATATATTACTGTACTTAAGGTATAACAAACATTTTTAAGTTATTGAACATTAATTTTGTTCTCTGGACAATTCATTTTATTTTTACCAAATACGGAGTTGTACACTTGTATGAAATATACAAAGTGTACAAATAATGATAGTAATTAATAAATCATTGTGTCTGGGGACAGGCAGCCAGAGTGTATTCATACACGTTAGACTTGTATCGAGGTCCCTAATAGTCACTAATAGTCCAAATTCCTCTTAAATCAAATAGGTAAATAAAACATATGTTCCTGTGTGTTTGAAGTACTTAGGAGAGATGTACTCAAGAATGTTTTTACTTTTGATTATGGGAATGTAAGTTTTTGTTTACATTATGTACGGAAGGGTACATAATGTAATAATATTACTGTAAGTGAACGTACCGCTATAGCAGCATGCACAACACCTTCCCCCGGTAGGAAGACCCCCCTCAGTAGGAAGAACTCCCCCTCCCCCAGTAGGAAGAAACCCCCCCTCCCCCAGTAGGAATGAACCCCCCCCCCTCCCCCAGTAGGAATAAACCCCCCTCCCCCAGTAGGAATAAACTCCCCCTCCCCCAGTAGGAATAAACCCCCCCTCCCCCAGTAGGAATAAACCCCCCTCCCCCAGTAGGAAGAAACCCCCCTCCCCCAGTAGGAAGAAATCCCCCTCCCCCAGTAGGAAGAAATCCCCCTCCCCTAGGAGGAAGAAACCCCCCTCCCCTAGTAGGAAGAAACCCCCTTCCCCCAGTAGGAAGAAACCCCCCTCCCCCAGTAGGAAGAAACCCCCCTCCCCGAGTAGGAAGAAACCTCCTCCCCCAGTAGGAAGAAACCCCCCTCCCCCAGGAGAAAGAAACCCCCCTTCCCCCAGGAGAAAGAAACCCCCCTCCCCAGGAGAAAGAAACCCCCCTCCCCCAGGAGAAAGAAACCCCCCTCCTCCAGGAGAAAGAAACCCCCCTCCCCCAGGAGAAAGAAACCCCCCTCCCCCAGTAGGAAGAAACCTCCTCCCCCAGTAGGAAGAAACACCCCTCCCCAGTAGGAAGAAACCCCCCTCCCCCAGGAGAAAGAACCCTCCCTCCTCCCCCAGCAGGAAGAAACCCCGTGGGGGTTGTTGATCCTGTCACTTGAACCCAGACTCAGCTGGGTCTCACTCAGTGTCTCGAGTGAACACTGTCAAAAAAGGAGTTATAATATTTACCAAGTGTGTAACTGACGTTATCGTGTGTGTAAAAGCAGCAGTAACTATGTCATTGAGGCACGAGGTAGTAATAGTAGTAGTAGTAGTAGGGTGAGGGACGCCAGCATGGCTTCCTGTTACGTCACGTGAAGCCAGGCTCACCCTCCCGGGGGCTCTTATCTAGCTCCTGTGTTTTATTGTTCATCATGATAGTGTGGCTCTCTCGCCCTAGTTGTTGCTAGGATGATGGGGGAGTCTAGGTAATGCTTGGCGATGGCTGGGCTTGGCACCCAAGCCACCAATGAGCCGCAACTTTACCGAGAGGGTTCAAAATCCGCCGAAACATTTGCCGGTCAACGTCATCGCTTGAAACAAATCTATCCTAGCCTATCCCAAAAATGTACTCTAATCTCTTAATATCCTCTCCTAACGTAGCTTAATGGTATCCTATCCTAACCAAACGAAGAGTCGGTAAATTGTAGTGTTTTTATGTTAGACCGTATACAAGATGTGTGACGTCATTGGCTTGTCTCTTGGGGATCTTTTTGGCATTACTGGGCGCGGGCGTCGCTGTGGGCGGGAGAGGCAGGTGCGCCATCTTGCCTCACACTCATTTACGCATTATATTTTAAATACTAGACATGAGAGGCGGGTATTAGTAATGAAACATTATTGACATGAGAGTTGGGCGTGGGTTTCGGAGGAGCCAGCGTACCCGAGGAGACTTGGCAACGCGCCCTCAATTAACCAATGAGAAGGCCGCTTGACCTGACCAATCAGAAAAGACATCGGCGCCGCCAGCTACACGCGCGTACGAAAACCGTTGACGTACATCTGCGGGACTAATTACTTAGGTTTGAAGTCGTTAGCAGACCCATGCAATACTGTGGTCTGTACCGCCGCCGCCGCCACCGGCCACTCCTGCTAATATGTACATGCATTTTGGTGGCCTGAGTGTGTGTGTGTGTGTGTGTGTGTGTGTGTGTGTGTGTGTGTGTGTGTGTGTACTCACCTAGTTGTCCTTGCGGAGGTTGAGCTCTGGCTCTTTGGTCGGGTGTGTGTGTGTGTGTGGGGGGGGGGGGTGGAATCACCCGGGCATCATTCCTCTTCTCAAGTATTCTACGAATTTATATTTAAGCGATACCGTATCTGGGACAGGAAGCCCGTGTTTTGTGGAGTCTTGCAGAGTTCCTCGTCCAATAGTCACATTAACCTGAACGACCAACCGACCGACGCACTCACCATCACAGAAAACTTGTAGTGATTTTTGCTGTAACTCCAAGAGAATATGTTGCACATTCCTGCACCCGTAAGTTTCGTGTAAGAATTGTCCAATTTATAACAAGCATATCAATGCATAAACTTAAGTGCTGTACTAAAAAAAATATATATAACAAATAAAATTGTTAGGAAATTTGCACTAATTTTCCTCTTGTAAAACAGTATACAGTAGATTAGTAGATTTCCCCATGCATATATATATATATATATATATATATATATATATATATATATATATATATATATATATATATATATATATATATATATATATATATATATATGCGGAAAATCCACAGAGAAATATGAAATGAGAAACACCTCATTTCATATTTCTCTGTGGATTTTCCGCATAAAATGATCAGTGTTTTGTGATCGTCAATTGCATATATATATATATATATATATATATATATATATATATATATATATATATATATATAATCTAGTTTAGAATTCTCTAATTAAAGACCAGGGAAAAATTAGATTGCATGATTTTTTTTGTCTCAATGCTTCTTATTAATTGTTTAGCATATCAACAAATATATCGTACTTGACTAAGTATATCTAGATAAATTATATATGACTCTAGAATAGCCAGGCCAAATCCAAATGGCTGTGTGGTAAAACCAGGCAAATTACAGTTGTGTTTATTATATTAAGGTAAGTTTGCTTTACACCAGTTTAATACAGCCTATCAGGGAATATTATAACATACAGTATATGTAACTGAAATAGTATATGGACGCCTTCCATTAGACATGACAGCTGTGTAAGGAAAATTTGTATTTTTATTGAAGTCAGTCATGACCTAAATTTTTGTTCATCCCTACAGAAATACCAAGTGAAGTTTTGAATGCGTCTACCGATTTTTTTTATTAACACGGTACAGCTGCGTCTATACAGGTGCCCTAGACTATATGGAGGGTTACATAGCGTGTGAGCCGTGTGATACTAAGATACCTGGTAATTTATACAGCTGCCCAAAACTATATGATAGGTTACATGGTGTGTGTCAAGGTCCAGCTGTGTGATACTAAGGTACCTGGAGAGTAATACAGCTGCCCTAGACTATATGAAGGGTTACACAGTGTGTCGAGAGCTAGCTATGTAGACTATATTACTTGTGCTAGCTATTAGACCATACTACTAGAGCTAGCTGGTAGACCATACCACTAGAGCTTGCTGGTAGACCATACTACTAGAGCTTGCTGGTAGACCATACTACTAGAGCTTGCTGGTAGACTGCCCTAGTGTTATTTGTAATTGAATACGAACACGAATATTTTATTTTGTGTATTATATACAATATTATTATTTGTGTATTCAATAATTTTTGTGTGTATTATATACAATAATTAATTTTATATTTAAATGATGTTTTTGGTTAGCTTCTACTTGCTTCAGTATTTTTGTATGGAGTTGGAACATGTGTTTACATGCAAGGAGCTGCTGCCAGTCATTATAATACTTGTTTATAGGCTTTATTGTTCTAAATATTTGTTGTTAATGTAAAGATTCCCAGAAAGGGCCAGCCTGTGTATTTGTTTCCTGCTAATTCCTTCATGTCTTAAGTGTAGCCGAGCCTATGCATTTTTTTAATTATTGTCGTTGTTACAGATACTCCTGTGTGGGTGGAGGCAGTAGTGCGTGCTGGGATGCCCTCCAGGTGGGCATTGGGGCACAGAAGTGACCTCTGACCCCTAACTGCAACACACCAGCCCACCCCTGCTGATCCCTTCTACCATCTAGGCTGCTACTCTCATCCTCCTCACTCACCAAGGTAAGGCTGGATTGCATGTGTCGTTGCACGGCAAGAAATTATGCCAGTGATTACCCGTCACAGGCGGGTTGGTCACTGCTAAAACAGGTGTCAAATCTCCTGTTAATCTCAAGATTAGTTTCAACGCAAACACTTAGTTGTGCTTGATGTCTCTTAATCTCTTGATAAACCCTTAGGCTAATGAGGCTAATTTTCGCTAGGTCTTAAGAAGGCAAGTTTTAGTGCCGGGAATTGTGAGACCAGTTTTATTAATAAGAACAGTTCCAGTCAGATCAAATGTACCGCTCTGTTAGTCTTGGTGAGATTAACCTTAGTTTGGGTCAATTATATTAAATTCATTTTTACTAAGTTCAATCTTAGGTTAATTTTCTTAGGCTAATGGAGAGTCAACTATAGTGAGGCTAATGTGATTTGTTTTACATAATAGTTTACTTCCTCCTTATGCTGTGTAGTTTCCTATATTATGTAAATTTGACTTGTTTGTGTTCAAACACTACACTACTGTTCAAACACAGTGTAGCTGCTGCCCTCTCCTCCTGGGGGGAGGATAGGGCAGTAGCTCACTCCTGGGGGAGGAGAGGGCAGTTGTTGAGTCACAGGAGAGAGAAGGCTGGGATTGAGCCCTGGGGGAGGAGAGGTGTGGAGGAAGTGCCACTATCTAGGTCAGGTCGTCAACCCCCGGCAGCGACGGTGGCACTCACTAGTGGCCCTCTCCACAACTGCCAGCTTGTAAGGCACACACAGCCAGTGCTTATTGGAAAAATTGATTATTAAACATCTGTGGTCTATACGTAGATTGTTTGATGGTAGCACTAAGGTATAGTCATTGATGTATACTGGACAGATGAAGCCAGACAAGGTATGTGTGTGCATGTGAGAGATAGAGCCGTGTGTGTCATCGTGGGAGGGAGAGAGAGAGAGAGAGAGAGAGAGAGAGAGAGAGACAGAGAGAGACAGAGACAGAGAGAGAGAGAGAGAGAGAGAGAGAGAGAGAGAGAGAGAGAGAGAGAGAGAGAGAGAGAGAGAGAGAGAGAGAGAGAGAGAGAGAGAGAGCGAGCGCGCGTACGCTCACACTGGAAAAACTGATTCGAGACCACATTGTAGCTATCGATGATATTGATAGGTACACAACGCGACTGGTTCGTTGCTTAATATTTAAAAGTTGCTTCTGGACAGACGACGTCAGCATTGGAAGTTGTCTCCACTGCACGTGACGCCTATAATCCCACTAGGCTACGTCAAGCAATACTACCGCCTCAACACTAAACACCTCGCTAAATGAGAAAACATTTGTGTTTTCTCTATGTTGTTAGCTACAAGAAGTGTCCGGCCATCTTTGTGCAGGCATCTCTTGGTAAGAAATGATCTCCCTCCTCCTTCCCCCCCTCCCCTCCCAGTCCCCATGTGCTCTCCCTACAATTTATGACAAATTGTGTCCACTTGAAAACGATGCCGGAAAATATTTCACATGTCGACTCTTGAACATGTTTCTATGGAGTTTGCTCTAACTATACCGGAAATTATCTTTTCAAATATTACACAGAAGTTGGTCATTTTTTAGTCAAATTTTGAAATAAGAACTCGTGGTCAGAATCCTGTTTTTTACGTAGTATTATTTTTATTTTATTTTGAAACGTAGATTGATGAATGACGGGGATCTGCAAAATCAGTTTCAACTATGTTGTTTTTAATTCTGAAATTATATAATAATAATATTGAATATAACAAGGAAATGTGGGCTTCGATTGATGTTACAAGTCTTTGTACGTAGGCAAATGTGGCTTCTTATATGACCAGGAAGAAGGAATGGGTTACTTTCAGATGCCTTAATAATACCGCCCCAGGGAAGGTTTATTTTCAGTTGGGTACCAGTTTGATACCTCTGAGATCCGTATTGTGAGCGCCCATGGTATAGATGGTAGGACAACTGTCTCGTACTTTTGAGGATCGGAGTTCGAATCTCTAATGATCCATGTGAATTAAATTACCGAGGTATATTCAGAATACATTTAGATTAGTTCCTCAAATTGTCTTCCCACCATCGTCAGGGTCTCGGTAGTACAGTTGGCTTCGTTCTCGACTCATAATCAGGAATCCCGAGCACGAGAGAAATTGTTGGGCACGTTCCTTTCATCTGATGCTCTGTTCACCTAACAGTAAATATGTACCCGAGAGTTAGGCAACTGTTGTGGGGGTAGCATCCTGGGGAGGGTCAGTAGTTCTAGCTTGGAGATCTTGATACAAACCTACAGTATATATATATATCACAGGCTACCTGTCCCTGACAAATTGAGTTATTACTGTGATATAAATTGTGTCACCGTCTATCTCGTGTCTAATGGTAAACTACACTTTGTTTCACCTTTTAATTTGTAAACTAAATGTTACTCACTTAATGCCAAAAATGTTAGTTTGCTTTACACTGCTCTACACCTGTTTAGTTCAGCCATTATTGTAATGATTCATGCAAGTTGTTACGATTAAAGTTTCTAATTTTGATTCTGGAGTTCCAGAACATTATTTCTGGGTGTTGT